TAACGAATGGTTAGAAAAGTATGAAGACTCTGACTACGAGTATGACACAGACGAAGATGTCCCAATGTTGGCGAAGAACAAGTTAAAACCAAATAGAGTGATTTCAATTTATTCGAATATGTGAGCATTGATAATGGCATTCTTACAAGAGAAACGTTGACCGATGAGCAAATTATAGACTCCGTAACCTCATCTAAAGCTTTAAGCGATAATGAGAAAGATGACGATTTAGGTGAAACGTGTTCTACTGTAGACACTAATGCTGTTCCAACCATTTCTGAGATGACAAAAAAAAGTGTCCGAAACTCGGAATTTTCTAAAATCACGCCAAGTTCCTAATCATATCTGGGAGTCCTTTTGTGATCTTGAAAACTACATAAATAACATCTATTTTTGCAGCAGAAATGTACAAACAAAAATTACAGACTTTATGAAGTAGATTTCAAATTGAATTTTGTTTGTCTTTTTGTGTTCTTTTTAGACATACCTGCTAACTTCTACTACTCTATGTAAAAATAACGAAATAAAATACACCACGTGTTTTTATATTTTTATCGCTTATAGCGAACTCCGGATATAACGAACCAGTCTTAGTTCATTTTTCAAGTTCGTTATATCCGGACTCAACTGTAGTTTCATTGTATTTATCAAAAATATTCGTGTGAGGCAATTGGAAATATTTAAAAAATAGTTGGCCAAACGACGTGTAGGTGGATTTATGTTACTTATTATTGGCCGCAAAGAAATGTTGGTTTTGTGTATTTTTGGAGTCCCGTAAAATTCGGGAGTTGAACGTTTCGTAATCTGAAAAATTCCTGTTTACGTATGCAGCAATAATATTAAAAATTGAAACGTTGAAAAAATTCTGCCCCAAATCGAGCAAAATATTGGCCTCTGCAGTTGCACATTCTAGAAGGATCAATGACAAATTGAACTGAACATTTCCTTCAACGCGTTCCAGACTTATTCCCACTGGATTGGTGTTGAAATTCCTGGAAAATGGCCCGCAATATTTTATTAAGCATGCGATAAATGCGACTTTGCATATTGGGAAAGTTGTAAGGGCAACAGTTTCTTGCCCATTCGTGCATAGTGTTATATCGCGATGTGTTAATGTCGTGCTTAGCCGCAATTTCGCTTCAACATTGACCAGTAAGTAGGGATGGTCGGTATTTAACGTAACCGCTAAAATAACGTTGTTACCAACGTGTAACCGGAAACAGTTGTTACAGCTAGCAGATTTAACCGGTTGTTTTTGGAACCGTCTCATAAAACCGAAATAGTTGAGCGCACTTCGAACCAGCTGCAGCCGTTTGCCAATTAAAAGGTTGTTTTTGGAACCTTCTCATAAAACCGTAACGGTGGTGAGCGATCTATTCAGCTGCAGCAGTTTGCCGACTTAAACCGTTCTTTTTGGAACCGTCTCATCAAACCTAAACAGTTATGCGCAGTTCGCACTAGCTGCAGCCGTTTGCCGATTTAAACGTTTTTTTGGAACCGTCTCGTCAGTTTCAGTAACCATTTGATCCCACCAGATCTTAAAAAAAAAGGGAAAATTTGCGATTTTTAGATATAAATTCAGTCACAAGATAAAATGAAAGGTAGTTATATAGGCGTTGTCAGGTCGACATATTTTTTTAAAGTGTTTTTTGGTGGTACCAAAATTAACTCGGGTAATACTGCGAACTCATCTGAAAAAATTTTCATTTTTAAACGTTAATTTATTTTTAAATGAGAATTAGATTTTTAAGCATTTTTGCAAATAAAGCGTATATTTAACTTATTCAGTTTTTATTTATATATTTTATCTAGTTTATCATCAGTTCGCTTGCTCTTTAAGCAGGTGCTGTGATTTTAGAATATTCTATTTTATCTAAGAGCGTTAGTTAAGAGTTATTCTTTTAATAAACTAAATCATTATTTGGCATTACTATTTCTACCATCATCATTGCGCATGTTTAATGAAAAATTTTAAAAGTAACATGTTCCTTTTGGAACCGCATTTTGAAACCTATTACCAACGTGCAACTGGAACGTTGTAACCTTGTTACAGAAAAATAACCGTTTGTCCCACCTCTACCAGTAAGTAATCGGGGCCTGATGAAGGGAATTTTGTCGAATTTGTGGAAACTTTTATCCATTTTGACACAGTTATTGGCAATGTTTTATAATGTTGTTTTTCTCTTTTTCAGTATGCGGAGATATACATGGTCAGTTTTATGACCTTATGAAATTATTCGAAGTAGGGGGTCCACCCGCAAATACAAAGTACCTTTTTCTTGGCGATTACGTGGATAGAGGATATTTTAGTATAGAGGTAAGTTGCTAAGAAGTGCATCAATACCCAAACTTCACAGGAAAAAAAAACAAAAAAAAAATCAATAAGTGAGGAAATAATTTGTTTGTTTCAGTGTGTGTTGTACCTGTGGGCATTAAAGCTGTGTTATCCGACCACATTGTTCCTCTTAAGAGGGAATCACGAGTGTCGGCACTTAACGGAGTATTTCACATTTAAGCAAGAATGTAAGTAGATCTAAAATATTCAATTCATTCACTCAGTGGCATGCAAATGAATAATACCAATAGAAGCGAAAGCTAAATTTAGCCGTCGCATAAATGCATCTTTATGCAAAACATGTCATATTTGCCGTCTTATCAAGCACTTAAAAATGACTGCGATAAAACAGGATTTATCACTTTTAAACTTTTTAATGAAGCAGGTTTATCTGATTAGCGATTCCATCGGATTTGTTCACTGTGAAATAGCTGGGGCTGGGCGATAAATGCTTATTGCAGATGGCATGAGGAAAATTATCGGTTTTTCCTGTTTCGGCGCCAATTTCCTTATCTAAACTTAACGATTTTAAGAGGATTTGTTTTGATTTAATTCGGGTTGTTGTGCTTGTTTGTTCACGACTCAATCAGCAGTAGGATTAAAAACTGATCATTTGAAAAGAGCATTTTTTCGGCTCTTATTTGAAATTCCGTATTCTCAATGATGACTATCAAGTCGCGAACAAAACAATTCCTCCCTGCTACGAGGCTTAATAAAAAGTATTACGCTTTTTTTTGAAGAGCGACATTTAAAAATTGGCTTCGTAACGAACAAAGAGCGGCTCGTTCTTTTGAAAGACTCCGACGAATGGAGTCTTTGGGCGTATTTAAGAAAAATACATGGCGAAAATGGGAGTTGAAGTAGCAAGGGAAAATAAGTGCACATTTCTTATCCGTTTTCTTCACATTTGCTCTCCGTGACTATCCGCAAGTTATTGTGTGGCCGGTTCTTGTTAAAATGCCGCAGTGTTGGGAAGTTTTGAAGAATTCTCGCAGCAAAATTAAGCCGTCCGCAATTAGCAGGAATGGAAGGGCGAACTTTTTTCTTAGCCCCCAAATGTGGAGACTCAAAGCAATTTTTATTCCATCCAGAGGTGGAAAGTAGTTTAAAGTTTCTTCAAAATTTCAGAATTTTCCACGTTTTGCAAAGTTACTCTTTCTTCTAAACGCTCAACTTTTTAAAGTTTCACTTAAAAAGGTATTTTCTGCAAAAAAATATAAAAATGTTTTAATTGGAACACTCGCTTTCGTCAATTTGTAAAAAAGTTTTGAAATCCCTTTCCAGCTTCAAATTTGGGACAAAAGTCCATTTTTTTTTTATCAAAAATCGAACAGAGTAAGCGAAAGTTTATAATAAATTATTTGGAAAACTCGTCACCCTCATTCCTCTGAAGACAGGAAAGTTTGTTAAAAAACTGTGGGTTTTTAGTTTTGACTGAATGTTTTTCTTGCGTTACTTTCCGCTCAAAAACGCTCTATTTTGGAGAGTTTCGCTTGAAAATCCTGACAACCTGGAAGTCTTTTACACGAAAAATTACAAAATAAATTTCTTGCTTTGTAGGAATTTTATAAAAACTTTTTCAGTGTCGGATTCGGGACAACAATAAATTTCTCCCGTTTTTCCCGAAAATCATTAAGATTTTCGCAAAAACCGAGTACAAAACTAACAGTTTTTAAGCAAAAGCGCAAAAAACCGTAATTTTCTGATACTTTTCTCCTTTTGTGACAATAATAGGGGGTCTTTTCAGCCAAAAATTACAAAATTTTGGTAGAAAATTTGTCTCATTTATCGCTTTGCAGGGAATTTTAGAAAGCCGTTTTCAGGTTCGAATTTGGCACAAAACCCAAATAATTTTAATAATTTTTTTGCCAAAAGTAATTAAGATTGTCTTGAAAAAACGACCAGAGAAACGAGAGCAAAAGTTTACAAAAAACTAATTGGAAAATTCGCCTCCCTCATAGCGTTGAAGATTTTGTAAGTATTATATTAAGTTTATGTAACATTTCAGGTCTCCAGTTTTAGCAAAGTTTTTTTAAGCAATTCTTTCTGCGCAAAAAAACGCATTATTTTATAGTTTTACTTAAAAATACTGACAATCTTCAGGCATTTTCTGGGAAAACTTATAAAATAATTTTTATCTCGCCTCCGTAACCGCTTGGTAAAAATGGATCAAAAACCTTTTTTGCCGCAAATTTTGGACAAAACCCTAATAGTTTTCTGGGTTTTTCCAAAAATATTTCCCCGAACAGAACAAGCGAAAGTTAATAAACAATTATTTGCAAATCTCGCCACCTTCGTCGCTGTGAATAATTTAGTTTTTTGAAATTCCGGTCTCTTCAATTTTATGTCAATATTTGTAAACAAAACTCTCTAAACAGAAAAATTCGCTTTTTCCAACCGTTTTACTTTAAAATATTGGCAAACTGAGTCTTTTATGCAAAAAAATTCGAGATCGATTTTACAACAAAACTCGTCTTCTTTATTGTCTTTTTCGAATAGTCGTTTTAGCTTTGAATTTGGGACAAAATCCGAACAAAGTTCTCTTGTTTTTTTTTCGAAAAAATTTAAGTTTTTCCCAAAAACCGATCAGAGAAGGCAAAAGCATAATCAACTATTTGGAAAACTCTCCACCTTCATCGTTCGAACATTTATCGTTTCCGACATGCAAAAGAGTTGTTCCTAAATGTATGTTCAAAGTTCCTCAGCATGCAAAAGTGTTGCTTCTAGATAGTCTGCAAGTTTGGGTTATAAGGGAAAACAAACTTCAGTTTGGTAATTTTTTAATTTTTCCCGAAGCTGTTCTTGTTCAAGTTAAAAATCCATCTTGCCCAAACCAGAAGAAACATAAACTTACCTTTCTTTTTATCCACTTGCTGAATAGCTGATTGTCCTGAAACCACAAAAAATATACATATATATATATATATATATTCGCGCATTTCTTGCGACAATATCGAGAAACCTTCAACTAAGTTTCCTATTAAAGTTACCTACGGTTGTAACATTTGCATGCCGAAGTAAAAAAGTGAGGTTTTTTGAGTCTGTTTGCCCAAAAAGAGGTTGGCAAGCTTCGAGGCACACAAATTCGAAACATAACTAATAGCAGCAAGGGAAAATAGGGATGCATAATTCATATCGGAAAATAAAACGCGACAAAATCTGGAATGGAAGGCGAGAAATTCGGCCCGGATTGCGATAAATCAATGGACGAAACGGGGAGCGTTCATTTAAATAAAGTACTAATAGAGTATCGATAAATGCGCCCCACGTGATCGATCCCTATTTAGGCGTTTAGCCGATCGCGAATATGGATGGATTAGTCGTATTTATTTCGATTTATGTTCGTCAATGAATAAATAAGCCATAATTTTTAGCAGGGAGCAGTCGGTAGGATAAAACTATAAAACTAATCACAACTGCGGAATAACGCAGCTAATGAGCCTATGTTGGCACTAAAACTGAAAAGTGCGCTTGAAACGTGTTTAATTATTCATCTTGAGCCTGCAGAACATTTATTTCGCATTCATTTGTCAATGAATAGCGTCAAATTAAGCTAAGACGATGCTAAAGTTTACGTTTGCTGCTTGCTGGGAAAAATTTCCAGAACTCTAAACAGCATTTCGGCAGAAACTTGGAAAAGGTTAAAGCTTGTGGAGGTAATTGACGAGGAAGTTTTCGACGCATTTAAGTAAGTCATTACAGCTTTGAGGGCCCAAAAACCCGACTTTGAGCAGAAAACTAAACTTTAGCAAACTTTCCCAGCCATTGCGTAATTTTCTGATGGAACCGGGCAAAGTTCCGGAATAATTACTGATAGCAGGAGTCAATTCGTTACAAGTTGGAAATGAACCTGTTCTTTTCATTGCAGGTAAAATAAAATATTCGGAAAGAGTATATGATGCATGTATGGAGGCCTTCGACTGTCTGCCTCTTGCGGCGCTCATGAATCAACAATTTCTCTGTGTACACGGCGGATTATCGCCAGAAATACACAATCTAGATGATATACGAAAGGTAAGTTCACAGATTATTCGGCAACTTTAACGTTTAAGGGCTGGTTTTTCCTGGGTTAAAGCCTAAACTGAAGGACGCGATGGCACGTTAAAGATAATGACGGTCTAATTTGCGGTTTCAGCTTTTTCGAGTACATGCGAAACGTTGCGGCTTATTGTTCAGATTTGTGGTTTTCGGGTTCGACCAGGCCTCATTCATTTTCCGAACTGGGTCGACTAATTCCAAATTGCCGGACGGTGTTACGAGCGAAATCCCCGCTGAATCGAACAAGCAAAGACACTTTTACGTGGAAAAACCATTGGCGAATCGAACGGAAAATCTCCGAATGGTTTCAAGTTCATTTTCAGAAGTAGACAATTTTTATCCAATGCACATTCTATAAATTCACTTAAACAGTTGTTTAATTGCAGCTGCGCCGTTTGGTAAATTATCAATTTCCATCGGTAAATCGGCGAAGAAGCCGAAAAAGCATTAAATTAGTTGTTGGTATTCAATATAGTCAATGAGACTGGGATTTTTTTCAAATCAGGCATTTGACCCCCCATTCAATTCTCTATCAAACGATGCCAAAACGAATTATGTGGCTCGAATGGTTCTTGAGAAACT